AACCGTACCTACTACTACTAACCTACGGACGGTCGTACGTAACGTAGTACGTCGTCGGTACTAAGTAAGTAAGTATAGTAGAGTAGTATATATATATATTATTTTTGTGTGTGTGTGTGTGTGTGTGTGTGTGTGTGTGTGTGTGTGTGTGTGTGTGTACAATAACTGTTATGGTGATAACCAGATCAAGAATATGAATTATAATTATCATTAATTTTATTTAAGTCATTCACAGATCAGATTTTAGATTGCAACCTACTGTCCCATACATAACATTTCCAACTGAATAGCACTAAACATGCTGTTTTATTCCTAATACTGGAAGTTAGAGACTATAATGCTGTAATTAAGGACATACACTATAATCTATAAAGTCAAGCATTGGAATCTATACTGTAAATATAAATGCTAGATACTTAAATCTACACTGTCAAATTAAAGATGGACACTGGAATATATACTGTCTTGCTTCAGGCTGGACACTATAATCTATAATACTATTCTTAAGCTTGAACATTGGAACCTACTAAACTAAGCTTAAGACTGTATGCTGGAGCCAAAACTGCTATACTTACTCAAATACTGGAATCTATACTACCAATATAAACATTGGACACTGAAACCTACACTACCAAATTAAGATTCGACACTGGAACCTACACTACCATGCTTTAGGTTGGTTATACAGAAACCAAACTGTCATGATTAAGATTAATTATTAGAACCTACTTTAATACACTTAATACATTTTCTTGTACTTGATGAAGTAAACTTCTTTTCCCACAAGTACTCAAGTTATTGGGTCTTATTTTATTATGTGCATGTTTAAATGTATGGTTAAATTACCAATAATTTTAAAACTCAGAAATTAAAAAGAAAACTGAACTGTTAAAATTATAATATATGTTTTTTTGGCTTTAAGCAATACCAATGTTAATTAAAAGATGGTAAAGACATTTTGATTTTTTTTGTACTCAACACAGAAAATAATCTAATAAACACAAGTGTCACAGAACTTACTTGAGAAGTTTCTTGTAGCTAGCATGGTGGTTAAAATAGCTCCCTAAAAGAATTATTAAAAAAATTATAAAACTTTTAGTTACTACTTAATACTCTTTACATAAACTGATCTTTCAAGTAATTTACAAATTCTTTTGGTGAGTTCTCTACTTGCCATATATATTAAGATTATGTACATGTCAAGCTTATGTTCTTCAAATTTTTTGCTACTTTTTAGTTCTTATAAAAATCAAAGTGTTCTTTTAATTCTATAAAAATTATTTCATTTCATTTCAAAATATCAAATACTTTGATTTTTTATGATTAATGACACATAATAAAGTCACTTCTTTCATTAACTTACATTTTACATAGCTCAAGTTATTATATGCCTATGTACATTTTGTTTAAAAAGGTCAAGTTCAAATATTTTAAACTTTTTTAATGGAGTTTTATGCAAAACAGAAAACACAAGAAGCAGTTTCATACTAAAGTATTACAGTACACCTAGGTGTCCCAAGCACTATGGCATACAGTACACCTAGGTGTCCCAATTATTTCAAGCACAAAGATGTCCCAAGTATTGCAGCATACAACATATCTAAGTGCCCTAATTATTACAATATACAACAGATCTAAGTATTAAAGCATCAAAAAAGAATGTAATAAATTCTACACAGAATACGCAAAAAAAATTTTTACTTTTAAAACCTATGCAACTACAGTGTAATATTAAATTCATTAAAAACATCTACCTCTTCTCTAGGTGTGCTTGTAAGTTCAGCACAAGAAAACAATTGTTTGAATCTCTCCCAACATTCTGACATTACAGACTTATGGTTAAGTTATATGTTACCCCACCCATACAGAAAGAAAGTTATCACCTATAGTTATTGATATACACCTCCACTGACCCAGCTGATAAACAACACCACCTAGTGACCTAAATTTCCAATGCATACAGGATAATTTTTACCTTAAGTTTACGACGAGCATTAAACTTCTTGAGACATTCAACAGTTTCTTGACGGTGAAGCGTTGATGCAATTCTCTCACGTTGCTGAAAAAAAAACAGTAAAAGCACTTATACTTAAATTAAACTGACTGTATACACACAAAAAAAAAAAGATTTACTCTTGAAAACTTTGTCAATACATTGATACAAATTGACAATCACAAAGTTCAGATATTTAATCCTGAATTGATAAGTTTAGAGTTTAATCTAAAAGCGAGGTAGGTAAATAGAAATTGATAAGCACTTATACATTTAAGTTAAAGACATATACATATATGAATACTGTTAAACAAAGCACTGATTATAAAAACAGTGAAACTTCACCACCAGCTAATATTTAAGTCTAATGGATTAAAGTCCACATCTTACAGTTTGTTCAATCATAAAACACATACTCATACTTAAGCTTACTGTGCACAATATATAGTTATGTTTTACACTAGTTATTATTTAAAGCTTGATTATATCTTAAATAAATTATACACAACATACAGAACTCTGTACACCAGAGAATAAATAGTATTATATATATATATACCATATTTATATGGTGCAAAAAGTATAGACATCTTCATTAAAAGAAACTACCTTTAATATAACATTACAAGCACACAGGTGACTAAATTGGGTTTATACTTCACATATGAAGATTCATAGATAACTAAAAACAAATCTGACTCACAAAAAAAATATTCTAATGATGTGATGACATTAAAATTGAACATAAGTAATACAAAATGAATTCATCCAGTATGATCAACCAAATGTAAGAACTTGAAAAGACTTGAATCAATTTCATCACAACAAATCTGAATTTAGGCATGGTTCAACATGGCTAAACCACATAGGTAATGAGAAAGTTAGAGCACTGCATAGCAAATACACTTATACAACAAGCACCAATTTAGGCATGGTTCAACATGGCTAAACCACACAAGTAATGAGAAAGTTAAAGCATTGCATAGCAAATACACATACAACAAGCACCAATTTAGGCATGGTTCAACATGGCTAAACCACATAAGTAATGAGAAAGTTAAAGCATTGCATAGCAAATACACTTATACAACAAGCACCAATTTAGGCATGGTTCAACATGGCTAAACCACATAAGTAATGAGAAAGTTAAAGCATTGCATAGCAAATACACTTATGTAACAACCACCAATTTAGGCATGGTTCAACATGGCTAAACCACATAGGTAATGAGAAAGTGAGAGCATTGCATAGCAAATACACTTATACAACAAGCACCAATTTAGGCATGGTTCAACATGGCTAAACTACATAGGTTATGAGAAAGTTAGAGCATTGCATAGCAAATACACTTATACAACAAGCACCAATTTAGGCATGGTTCAACATGGCTAAACCACATAGGTTATGAGAAAGTTAGAGCATTGCATAACAAATACACTTACACAACAAGTACCAATTTCAGTGTGGTTCAACTCGGCTACACCACATAGGTAATCAGAAATCTAAGTTATTGCATGGCAAACAAACTTACACAACAAGTACCAATCTAGGTGTGGTTCAACATGTCTACACCACACAGGTAATCAGAAAATTAAAGCACTGCATAGCAAATACACTTACACAAATCCATGGATGTTTTAGGGCTTCTGCTGCTGTGATTCTCTTTACTGGGTTAACAGTCAACATGCTATTTATGAGATTCTTTGCTTCTGGGGTTACAGTATCCCATTCAGGTGATGGATACTGAAAATATAAACTCTTCCTCAATTTCCAGTTTAACCAGAATATAAAATGGAGATCACTATTAGAACATAATTTACACACAAAAGTTAAAAACGGTTTTGAAAAGATTCATTGTATACTTACCAATTACTAGTCTTAATCTTCAGACAGTAAGACATTCTTATTCTTAATGAGATCAATTTCTTATTTTGTAACAATAGATTTTTTTTAAATGAAGTTTCATATCAATGTCTTCTCTAGCAAAACTAAAACTTTTCAGTAATGCTACAAAAAAATATTCCAAAGAAAAACTAAGTCCTATATTAAGGTAAGTAAATATTCAATATTTAATTTTTCTTTTTGTAAAACTTTTCTGAAATGTTTTTTGACCATCTGTGAACTAGTATGCATCTGAATTTTTGAGGTGGATGATATTTTAGTTCTTGTGATGTGATGAAAGTCTTAACATAAAGACCCAATCATGATCTAATTTTAATCTTCAAACAAATACAGTTCATAGAAATTTAAATACCAAGACTATCCACTCAAACAAAAATGTCTCTAATAAATATTCTAATTAGAATCTCACAATGTAAGAAAAATAACATTGTATGATATACCATTTCAAGTCCTAAAGTATTTATACATTTTTGGAGTTTATTTACAATATATTAAAAACACTTTCCTTGAGTTCCCCAACCATGACAAATCATAAGTGACAATTTTGCCAATGTCAATTAACAAAATTTTGGAAAAAAAAAAAAGGTTAATCTAAACAGTTGATAACAAGCTTGAATAACTCTGACAAACATACACACACACATACATACTATATCTATACATTAAAATGTGAAAAACAATTATGTTTTACATTATGCTGTTGCATTAGTTTTAGCTTATCAAAGATACTTTAAATGTATTCAGATATTAACTATTATTAAAACTCATGGTACACGAGTTAGGATAAGGTATTTCACTTTATACAGCTATGATATTTTAAATTAGAAACTATTTATCTTTCTAGCAAAATCATAAAAATTTACTTCTTACAGTAACCATGTAGTTGATATACATTTTTTGAATTATCAAAGAGCAATAATACTTCAAAATATAGATTTCACCAAGTTTAATATCAAACTGAAATGTTGTTTAATTATTTTAGAACCCTTCATTTTTTTATGGCTATTTGAACAAATCACAGTCTTTAATGAGTTTTAATCTTAGTTTTTATTGGATTTATAGGTAAAAAATAAAATATTTTTATATTTCATCCATCATGACATTACATTAACTCAATTAATTACTACCTATAATTTCATTCTCTGTTGCCCTTTTGATGCCCACTACTAACTACATAATAATCACAACCTTCATGAGGATTATAACACAACTTCCACTTAAAATTTATGTTATCCATGTTTCTCAATAATCATTACTTATATCTTTGCACATTACTTAAATCTATGTTGCACATATCACTTAATATTCATTATTCTAACACAACTTTTTTAAAAATTTATAACTTTGTAATCATTATTTCTATATATCACTTAATATTCATTTACTTACACCTTTGCTGTACACATTACTATATAGTTAGTTTACTTACATCGTATGAACCAGCTTTGATCTGAGCATAAAGCCTATGCTGATCTTCATCCCAAAATGGAGGATAACCCACTAACAAGATATACAGGATCACACCTGTAAGGGGTAAATGCAGATGTATATGCTTATGATCAATAAGAACTGACTAAAGAATAGGATGTAAATTTTATACTAGTTGTACTTCTGCAGGGTTCCCAAAAGTTTTCTGTTTCAAGAGTAAATAAAACCAAAATTAAGAGTAACAAGTATTTTTAATTCTTGCTTTTGAAGTTCATACATCATGCTGTGTTGTAGCCTACAGAGTGCATAATGTTTCTCATGATTCATGGCATGTGCACATTTTACTGATGTCACGACTGTACAAATTGCAATGTTAAGCATCTCTTATGTGACATCATTTGTGTCTACTGACTGACTAACTGACAGACAACATATACTACTGTATAGTGGTGTGAGTGGTTAAAACAGGTGATCCCTCCAGGTGGCCTTCAGGCCCCTTTTGGTGAAATTAACTGACCAGAAGCAATCCCCATGTTCATTCAAAAACATTACATATGTAACACACTAATTTCTCATAATATACACCTTTGAATACTAGTATATGATCCCAAAAACAGATCAACATAAATATTCTGGTATTCAAAGATTACCAGCAAGAAAGCCTAAAAAAGTTGAACTAATTTCTTTAAATAAAAATAATAGAAATTGGAAATATTTAACATTTTTCAGTAGGCCATGATATTACAATTGTGACAAATCTGTTTCTGAATTCCAGCCTGTAGTATTATAAGAATATTTTTTAGGAGAAAACACAAGAATTGTAACAAATGTTTCTAAATGTCAGCCTGTAGTATTAACAATATTTTTCAGTAGACCACGATATCATAACTGTGATAAATTTGTAGCTTAATATTTACATTTATTATTATAACAAGATCATTTTTATATGTGAAGATTTTTAAATCATTAACTTTTTAAACGGAGGGTTATATGAGAAAAAAAAAATTGTCTTAGAAAAATGTAAGAAACAATACAGACAAACCCTGTTCTTCTACCACTTTATTTTCAAAAGCTAAAAGTAAATATTTAATGTAATGTGCAATAAAAGATGGGATGTTGCTCACCACATGCCCATATATCAACTGGTTTTCCATAAGGATCTTTCTTGAGAACCTCTGGTGACAGGTAGCCTGGGGTTCCTGCAAAACCTAACAAGTACAAAACAGTGAGAGATATTGCACATTAATTTCATTTTTCATTGCATATCTTACCTTGTTTTACTTTAAATGGTAAGTAAAATTTGTATTTTTGTGCCAAACTGATAAACAATTACTTAAAAATACCTTAAGAGAATATATTGTCACATTTACTATAACTCCAGGTTTTGGGTCTCAAAAAAAAAAAAAATTCTACTAATTTACTTAATCTCAATTTACCCGTACACGTAAATATATTGATACCCTTCTATCAATGCTACAGTATTAAACAGTTCATAGTATAAGCTTAAAGTATTACATTCCTAGAGAACAAATGTTTTAAGCTGAACTAATGATTGTGTAAAACACAAGAGGTTGTTATTCAGGTAATCATAATCTTTTTTTGTTAATTAAATGGCTTAGAATTTCTAAATTTCTATCACACGATGAAATCCCACAATCAATGAACAGTGGAAATAGTTACAAGCAAAATTGTAAATAAAAACACTTAGGAATTCTCTGTGTAACCTAAACTAGAGATTAACCCTCTCGCTCAAGGTATCTTTTACTGCACATAACACAAGGTTTTAGTGTCTTAGATTCAAAATCTTATTAAACTACTTTTTGTTATGCTATACCAATTAGTATAGCATAAAATCATAGCTAACAATCCATATTTAAACGGTATACAAGTTTTAAGTTCTTAATTTTATAAGGCAATATTTAAAAATATCCTGATTTCCACTAGTGTGACATTTTCACTAGGTAAATTCTCATCTCTATTTTATCCACCACACCCCCCAGAAACTATGAAATTAAACATAAATTACTCACTATAAAAAATCATCATTGCTCAGACAAACCATAATTTTGATAGCTTTTAATTTTGTTTGGTTACAGAGCTATCAAATGGAAAATCAGACCCCTCCTGCCACATCCTCTCTTTTACGATTTGTTAATAGTTCTCTCTTACGTTTAATTAGATATTACCTATAATCAATAGAAAATCAAGGTTTTCATCTATCAAATGACATATTGTATAACATTGTGTTCTGAACAGAAAATAGTCAATTTTACTTCTAATTCAACTTTGGTTCCCATGGGAATCACAATGGCTAGCTTGGATACATTTGTTACAGCTCTTGTTGCATAGTTAGAAAGCCAGAAAAACTGTGATTGTTAGAGGAAATTGTCTGCTTTTTGCATGTTATTAGTCTATGTTCTTTGGTGCATTATTTAAATAAATAAAAATTATTTAATGAACTACTATCATTAATTTAAAAAAGTAGGGTTAACTGTCATAAATAGTTGAGAGCAAAAAAAAAGAATATTCGGTTAAGTACTTTATTTCTTGTTTTTTACATTTATTCTTTATTTTTTATTATACAAGTAACTAAAATGTAGAAACAGAGACCTCTTTAGGTTAGATTAGGTAAAACAAACAACATTAATAATAATATAATAAAAAATATTTTATGAGTCACTCACGCAAGCAACTCAGAGTAGCTCATGGAAAATGTAATTCGATAGTGTAACATGAGCTGCACATTCTCCACATGATTTACAACTTATAATGGTGGGAATAGTAGTTAGACACAGATCAAAGAGCAATCAAAAGGGCAATAAAACAATAAAATGTAATTATAAAAAGATGTATTCTGTTACGAGTTTAAAGCTACTTAAGATAAATTAATGCAGTTTCACGCTACATTTGAAGTCATTCTAGAAAGAAAAGGAGGGTAATTTAGATTTAAATTTTTTTGGTGGTTACGAGGTTAGTCAAATTGATCAACTTTGTATAGAGTTAGGATAGAGAAAATAACAGAAAAGGAATAAAGTTTTACTGAAAACAAACCTTTGAAGTGTATTTAGGAGGTTTTAGAGATTACACAAATCAAATTTGAGATTTTTGAGATGAAGAAAAGTATTTTTAATCTTCATATGAAAACCATATATACACACAATATATCAAAAGTTAGTAGTATCAGATCTATAAAGACTTTATACGAGTACAAAAAGATCACATGGTCGGTCAAATTGACCGAGCCCGTGTGGAAAGAGTTAATTAACAGACATCTGAAACAAAATATTACAATTTCATATTTATGTAATAATTGGTATTCTTTATAAAATGTCACTCATAAGTTAAAAAATTGTTTTTTAAATCTACTTTTCACAGTATCAAGTGATATTTCTGAATTTAGTGATGAATACATGTGAAATTGCACAAACATTCAATGCAACTTGACCCTTTTACTACAGGTGGATGGATTCCACACAGCCTGTATCCCCCAAAGCAGTTATATTGTAAATTTTTAAAATGTACTCGTATCTTCACAAAATTTTGCAGATTATCAGTGAGCATTACAAGGCTTTCGTACACAAATATAATATTTTTTAATTAATTTTTAAATACTTTTATGAATTGAAAATTGTCAAATTTCACATACAAAATCTCTATAACCTCCAGATAATTACCAACCCCCCCTTTTTTTTAGAAAAAACATTATATTTTATCTGTCATTTTCATTATTGTGTCTCTATATGGGTTTTATTGATTTGACTGACCTTGTAACCATCATAAAAAAAACAATTAATAAATAGATATAACTTATGCTTTTTTCATTTTAGAATGACTGCAAGTTATGATGAAAACACAAATGTTTAGTATAAGTAGCTTAAATCTTGTAACATTATACATTTATACATGTATATTACTTTTTATTGACCTTTTAGCCGTGTCTGACTAACACTACAGAAGTTACAATGATGTGGTGCACATACACTCATGTTGTTGTATCAAATACTTTAATCCCACTACTTTAACTACTGTATGACTTAATCCATGCCTGTTAGTTAAATACATGTATGTCTTAGTCAGGATTACCAATGAGGAGCAGTATTTCCTAAAGCCAGTCAAACCCAAAGATGCTTGTTATGTTAGAAAATATTTCAGGCCATTTAAGATTTTAACAATTTCCTAAACTGAAAATGTATTTCTGAACAGATACTTACCTCCTCTCACAAAAAGCTTTCTCGATTAGTACTGCCCTCTATTGGTGCAAATTTTTCACTCGCCACTAGCCTTGTAACCTCCACTTCTTTCTGCATATCTAATGCAAGTGATCATGCAGCAATCCTCCACCAATAGGAGGATGACACAACCCCTATTGTAACTAGTGCCCCGTCTAATAATGCAATTGTTAATCACTTCGAGATTGGCCATGAACAAATCAACAAATACACCAGAAATGGGGATGATGTGTGGGAAATGTGAGCTAAAGTTTTCAGTTTTGGAAAATGTTAACTTTCAATACAATATCTTACCTCCTCTCACAAAAAGCTAGAATCCCACATTGAACTGGTGTAGGGCCTGTGAGAAGTTCATCCTCCTTTAGAAAGTTCCAAAAGAAAAATGTGGTGTGGAAAAGGAATTAGAAACATTACACCAGTGAGAGACTGCACCACTTCTGATCCAGGTATACCCTTCCCCCTCGAGTAGTGTTGCTAAAACAAAAGGGTGGAAACATGGATGGACCCCAAAATGTGTTCATCATTAATGGGACCCTTAGGTGTCAAGTGGTTAGGGCACAACAGACTGTAAATGGGAATTTGACCTTAAACAACACCTGGCAGCATCTAGAATTATACATCAGATCTGTGGTAGGAAGAGGGTCCTCTACCTTTCACCTCAAAAATGGGTACATGGGAGGGAAGACAAGCTTCTGTACCAAGAACCCATCTCCACAGTTGTGCATCTCCAACACAACCAACACTGGATCCACCAGGAACCAACATCCAACAGATGGTAGAAAGTAAGGAGAGCTAATGAGGTATTCACCTCCTGTCCTAAACCTGGCAGCATTGGGAATATCTCGTCCAGTCCACAGTAGGAACAGGTAACCCAGTCTTACACATGCTGGAATTCATGTATGTAATATCCAGTTTCAACTAACAGCAGATCCACCAGTAACTGCAATCCAACATACAACAGGAAAATGAAGTGGGACCTCAATTTGGAGGGAGGAGGTTACCAGCCAAACACATGTGAGGACTTATGTGGCTGGATCGTCTCCAGCCAATGCGTGACTTAACTTGGAACCGACATCAGGAAAATGGTAGGAATGAGGAATATCCCAAGCAGAGGGGCAAACTGTGATACATAGATACATGGCAGAGTGCTACAAACAACACCTGTCAGCATCTGGAATTGTATATCAGGTCTGCAGTAGAAAAGGTGTCATGTCATCAACATCAACAGAATGCCACCACCCTACTCTCAACTGAGTGGAATTGTGCTTCAGTCAGAAGGACTGGACCCCAAGGTCCACCACACCAGCAGCTAGAAACTGGAAAGTGGCAAGGACTCCCATGCTCCAATAGAAAAAAAAGGGGACAAAATGCATTGGAGAGTCCAGAGGCCTGCAGCACTGGAGACAGTGTAATTGGTGACTGTGATATCCTACTTTTAAAAGTAGAGCTACCACTTGGATGGAGTTGATCAACCAACACCTGGCGGCATCTAGAATTGTACATCAGGTCTGCAGTAAGAAGAGACCGAATGCCACAGAGCATCAGAGATGGGACTTACCCCTGTCTGCTTTACACATGAAGTCCATCAGTGTACAGTCTGGAACGAACATATCTATGAAGAAAAGACCACAAGATATATCTACAATTGGTCCTATGGAATACTTCATCTCAACAGTGTGCATAATATGATTCTGCAACACGTTATATTGTTTGAGGCATAATATATGATACTGATGCATAGATAACAATCATATGAAGTCAAACAACCAACACCCAGCAGCATCTGGAATTGTACATCAGGTCCAAGGTAGGAAACACCTCAACATTATAGTTATCTAGCATGGTCACAGGACATACAATGTGGATTTGATACAAAGTATACCTGGTCAGGCACCACTCACCAAAGAGCACAATTCCAAACACATATTGTAAAAGGTCCCTGTAAAGAAATGAAAAACAAACTGAGTAGCCCATATACC